TATTCGAGGATGAGAACACCCAATATTGAAAAGCTGCATATTGCCCCAGATTAATTCTAATAAAAATCCCAAACAGTTTTTTTTATTTTGTTTTGTTTTGTGGAATCCAACAACTGATGCTACATCCAGCTAGAAGAGCAAAAGGCCAAGAATAACCAAGAAGTGCTAAGAAAAACAAGCTGGGGAGACTTATCTTAGCAGTAGTTAAGTAATTAAGACTGCACCATATGGCATAGAGATAGACAAACTAGGAAACACAACAGAAACCCAGAAACAGACCAATGTTTAAAATATAACAGTGATACCATGAAAATCAAAAGGGAAGTGATGTAACTAGTTAACCTCTGATTCTATAATTGGATTCTATATGGAAAAAACAGATCCTGGGGCATCTGGCTGGATCTAGTCGGAAGAGTGTGTGACTCTTAATCTTGGGGTTGTCAGTTCAAGCTCCATGTTGGGTATGGAGATTACTTAATATTAAAAAAAATAGATCCCCATATTATAACATGCATAAAATAACTTCAAGCTAAAGATCTAAATGTGGAAAAGCAAAACTTTTAAAAAAAATCTAGAAATTTAGAGTATCTTTGACCTTGGAATAGGTAGGGAGTTCTTAGACAAGATACAAAAATACAATAGGGGTGCCTGGGTGGTTCAGTCCATTTTAAGCATCTGTCTTTGGCTCAGGTCATGATCCCAGGGTCCTGGCATCGAGCCTCATGTGGGGCTCCCTGCTCAGAGGGAAGTCTGCTTCTCCCTCTCCCTCTGCCCCTCTGCCCCTCCCCCCCCGCCTCCCATGCTTTCTCTTTCTCGTTCTCTATCAAATAAATTCTTGAAAAAAATACAAAAAGGAAAAAAAATTGATAAATTAAAAAAATTTTTTTAAAGATTTTATTTATTTGACAGAGACACAGCGAGAGAGGGAACACAAGCAGGGGGAGTGGGAGAGGGAGAAGAGTCTTCCCATGGAGCAGGGAGCCCGATGCAGGGCTCGATCCCAGGACCCTGGGATCATGACCTGAGCCAAAGGCAGACGCTTAACGACTGAGCCACCCAGGTGCCCTGATACACATTTTTTAAAAAGATTTTATTTATTTGAGAGAGAGAGAGAGAGAATGGGGGAGGAGGGTCAGAGGGAGAAGCAAACTCCCCGCTGAGCGGGGAGCCTGATGTGGACTCTATCCTGGGACTCTGGGATCATGATCTGTGCCGAAGGCAGATGTTTAACTGGCTGAGCCACCCAGGCACCCAGAACAGACATAAATTAAAGAATTCATATCCAGAATAAATAAAGAACTCTTCCAATTATTAAGATATAACAGCCCAACAGAACAATGGACAAAGGAGAACAGAAAATTCTTAACATTACTCAAGGCCTCTGTATATGTTGCACATTGCACCAACTCCAGAGTGTGCTTTTCAGAATACAGTGTGAATAGTGCCCCCTAGATTTGCTCAGTGCACAAGCTCTACACTAAAAGATACAATCTTACACTATATGGTTGATGGCCCTGTGAAAATGCAAAGGATATGGGATACCCTTTCACATTCATCAAATTGGCCAAATTAAGTTGTAACATTTAAAAATGGTAGGGAAGGGGCGCCTGGATGGCTCAGTCCTTAGGCGTCTGCCTTCGGCTCAGGTCATGATCCCAGGGTCCTGGGATCGAGCCCCGCATTGGGCTCCCTGCTCAGTGGGAAGCCTGCTTCTCCCTCTTCCACTCCCCCTGCTTGTGTTCCCTCTCTCGCTGTGTCTCTCTCTGTCAAATAAATAAAAAAAATCTTTAAATAAATAAATAAATAAAATAAAAATGGGAGGGAAGGGGCACGTGGGTGGCTCAGTTGGTTAAGCATTTGACTCCTGATCTCAGCTCAGGTCTTGATCTTGGGGTCATGAGTGCAAGCCCCATGATGGGCTCCACACCAGGCATGGAGCCTACTTTAAAAAAAAAATAGTAGCAGGGCGCCTGGGTGACTCAGTTAAGTGTCTGCCTTCCACTGAGGTCATGATCCCAGGGTCCTGGGATCGAGCCCCGCATCGGGTTCCCTGCTCAGCGGGAAGCCTGCTTCTCCCTCTCCCACTCCCCCCTGCTTGTGTTCCCTCTCTTGCTGTGTCTCTCTGTCAAATAAATAAATAAATAAAATCTTTAAAAAAAAGTGGTAGGGAAGATGTGAAATATCTGGAATTATTATAAACTGCTTCTGTGAGTGTAAACTGGTACCATCACATTGGAAGGCAATTTCACAATATCCAGTAAAATTAAAAATGCAGATAACCCCTGACCTAGTAAATTCCATGTCTAGGTACATATCCTAGAAATATCCCCACCCATGTACAAGAGACATATCCAAGAATGATCACTGCACCCTTGTTTGCCTGAGCAAAAAATTGGAAACCAGCTAAATGTTCACCAAAAGGAGATTGGAGGGGTAACGTGGTATATTCCTATAATGGAATACTATACAGCAGTTAAAAAGAATGCACTACAGCTATGTATGGTAACATAAATAAATCTCCAAAATAGTGCTGAGGAAGGAAAAAAGCAAGATGCAGAAATATATTCAGCATGTTATCATTTAAAATTTAAAAACATGGGGGGCTCCTGGCTGGCTCAGTTGGTGGAGCGTGCGACTCTTAATCTCGTGATCGTGAGTTCGAGCCCCACATTGGGTGTAGTTTACTTAAAAAAATATATATTTAAAAAATGTAAAACCATGCTAAATAATCGTATGTATTGCTTAAGGATACAAACTTATGTATTAAAAGTATAAACCGGGGCGCCTGGGTGGCTCAGTCCTTAAGTGTCTGCCTTCGGCTCAGGTCATGATCCCAGGGTCCTGGGATTGAGCTCCACATTGAGCTCCCTGCTCGGCGGGAAGCCTGCTTCTCCCTCTCCCATTCCTCCTGCTTGTGTTCCTGCTCTCGCTATCTCTCTCTCTGTCAAATAAATAAATAAAATCTTTAAAAAAAAAAGTATAAACCATGTCATTGAGGATGGTGACTACCTAACAGAGGGAGGGGAATAATATCAAGGAGGCACGGGAGGGGAGTGGTGGTGGTGGTAAATGTGGGGTTTCAAACACAACTAGTCCTGTTTTATTTCTCCAGAAAATAAAAACAAGAAGCAAATACAACAAAATGTTTACTGTTAACTGTATGGTGGGTGTTATTCCTTTTATTGTGTGTGAACTATTTCCTTTTTGTTTCTAAGTTACATCTGCAAGAACAGAGACTGGGTCCTTCCCAAAGAACATACAGGTACCTCCGTTTCTCAATTCCCTTTCTTTCCTCCGCCCAGGAGAGGCTGGCTCCTTGTTCTCTGGCCCTGCACTTGCTGAGGATGCCAAAAATAACCTTGTCCCCCCGTGGGGGAGGAGGCAGGGAACAAGGTTCTTAGTTCCTGCCTTGTCTCTCTTTTCTAGTATAGTCTACCCTTTAGATTACTCCCTTGAAGCTCCCGTCTTCCCTCTGGCCTCCCAGCCACACACTTTTCCTGTGCTTCTCTACTTGCTCCTAAGCTCTCCATGCCCTCCAGGGCTCCATCCACGCCCCCCTTCTCTTCTCATTCCACCCACGTTCCCTCTGGATGATTTTACCCTGACTCAAGTCCTCAAGGACTTACTGGAAATAGATGCCCCCCCAAATCTCTATCTGCAGCCCATCTCTCCTGACCCCCAAATCAGCCCCTGGAAATACCGCCCCCCCCCCCCCCGCCCCAGTCCTTATCCCAAGCTAGCACAGAAATCCTAAATTCTGAAACTGAGCCCTGTGTCCCTGGCCTGCAGCTCCTCTCCCCGGGTCCCCTTTCCTGATACATGGCGCCACATTCCATCCTGTCACCCAGCAGTGACCTGGGAGCATCCTCATTACTACCTCCTCCTCATCCCCTACCTGCAACCAGCCCATCAGCCTCGCTGGTCCCCTCCTATGGCTCCTAACACTAGCATTGTCTGGGCCTCATCATTTCTCTTTGAATTACTCCAGTAACCCCCCAACTGTGATCTCTCCGCCACCACCCCTGCCGTTCCAGCCTCCCTGCCACAGGAGAGAGCAATCCTGCTAAAATGCATTTTCCAGCCCAACACCTTTTTCTCTTAGTCCCTGAATGGAGGAGTCATCAGGAGAAAACTTCTTCTTGGGATATACAAAGTCCTCCCTGACTTGCCCAAGTTCCTCTCTAGCCCCTCATACTCTGCCAGGCCCCCGTGCCCTGCTCTCTTCTCTGGCCTGTGTATATGGTGATTTGGGCCCAAATATCCTCTCAAACTGTCCTGCACATACACCATTTCTCTTTGCTCGCTAACCCGTAATCCTTCTGCCCTTGCCTCTTTGCTCAAGCAAACCTGGGTCTGTGAGATCTTCCCGCGCCCCTGTCCCAGTTGGGGTGTTTGACCTCGACCTGAGCCACCCTCACACTGTACTGTTCCACTGTGAAGGCACTTGCCTGTCTTCCCTATCAGACAAGGAGCAACGAGAGGACCGTCCCCTATCCCTGAACCTCGGGTACATAGCATAATGCCTGGCATAGCGACGGTGTTCAGAAGGCATAGGACTGGTCGACCTGGGGCTGAGAGCCTACTTAAGTGGGAATGCATCTTAAATGTTTGCAGTGGCTGAAACACACTGTGGCCACATGGAGGGCATGGGGCAGTTTTGGGCACCCAGGCACCAGTCCCAAAGGTGGCCTGAGGATCTCCAAGGAGAATTAGAAGGAAGCTGTATCAATTTTTTCTTTCTTTCTTTTTTCTTTTTTTTTTAGAGAGTGACTGGAGGGGAGAGAGAGAGGGAGAATCTTAGGCAGACTCCAGACCCAGTGCGGAGCCCTGATGCGGGGCTCCATCTCACAACCCTGAGATCACGACCTGAGCCGAAATCAAGAGTCGGACACTTAACCGACTGAGCTGCCCAGGCGCCCAGGCTGTATCAATTTTCTTAATCTCAAAAGACCCTTCACTAAAAATCTTCATTGGACCAAAGGTTAGAACACTTTAAAAAGTGCATTTAGTTCCCCTTTTCATCTTTATTTCCTTAGGGAGGAAAACACCAATCCTGGTGGTTGACATCAGGGAGGCAAAGCCACAGGAGTTAGGTGGGAGGATCTACATAGGCCTCTGTGATCAACGGGTTTGATTCGTTGCCCCCTGCACAGCTAGAGATGGGCTGTGGCTTCCAGATGTGGGAATGACGCAGGCAAGCGAACGTGCCAATGGCTGGTATGCAGCAGGAGGCTCCACAAACACTGGCCCAGTAGGCTTCTCCTAGGGACAGTCTCTCGTGTTGATTAGCAAACGCCCTGGGAATCAGGATCAGCAAACTGAAGGGTCACTTATGAGCTGAAATACCAAGGCTGGCGTTCCCTGTGTGCCAGGCAGGCCGCCCTCCCCACACCCGTGTTGTCCATGATCTCATCGTCTCCCTGTGACCCTCCAGCTGTGGGAGTGGTGCCCTCATTTCAAAAGTGAGGACATGGACACTCTGCGAATGTATTGACCTATCCGAGATCACACCACCAGTACATCCTGGACCCAGAGTTCTGACTCAGGCCAATGGCCAAAATCCATCCTTGTTCTGCTAGACCAGAGGATACGCACTGAAGGCCTGGGTCTCTACGTGGCCCCCAGACATGTATGTAACAATCCAACTTTCCTGCTTCTCCTGAAAAAATTCTTAAGATCTGACGACAATCAGTTGGAACAAAATAATGGCTCTTCACTGGACAAGGAATACACTTCTCAGTTCACTCCACCTACTTTAAGTTTTCTACTCCTGGAAATACTTGGGTTTGCAACCCCTGCGCCACAGTTTCTGCACCATCCTTTATTTTAGAACAGAATTCCTTCAAAGCATATGCAAACAACATACTAACCCATGTGGGCCTTCATCTTTTGTGAAGGACGCCAAGAGGTGGGAGACACCATCTGGTCGGCCCGTGTCAGCACAGGTGAGTGGGCGCTGTCGTCCGGAGCCTGGTTGAGACCGTGCTGCCACTCTGTCGCCCCGAAGCCTAGATTCTCCCGCTGCCAGCTGATTTCTCTGCCTGGCAGTTACGGATGGGCTAAGACAGAAGGGTGTTCACAATGGCTCTGGATAAACGGAAGAACAAAAAGTGTGGCATGAAAATATCAGCTAAGGGGCACCTGGCTGGCTCAGTCGGTGGAGCATGGGACTCTTGATCTCAGGGTTGTGAGTTCGAGTCCCATGTTGGTCTTAGAGATTATTTGAAATTTTAAAAAAATTATATAAAAAAAAGAAAAAGGAAATACCAGCTGAAAAGGTACTCACTGGAGGTCAAAATAGTCCACGGTCATAGCAACAAAAAAGGAATCGGGTGAAATCTTGGCGGCAATGAGGGAATATACCTCAAGAGGAGCTCTTTTGTCTCAATTAAAAGAATCTAATTCAACCAAGACAGGGTGAACTGGATTGAGCGTGCACCAATTGTTGAACAAAGCTTCGGGTGCCCGCAGCAGAACTTCTCAGAGATCTCCTGAGGTTGCACAGAAAGGTCTTGTTGAACTGAAGGAAGATGCTGGGAATGGGCTCTGTTACCCTGCTCTGTTGACAGGTTGGTTTCACCACGAAGGGGCCCACCGTACCTCTCCCCATGGAGACATTGCTGGGTTTCAATGCGCTTTTCATTCTCTCGGCTGCCTGAGCAAATAGCCATCACTGTTTCCATTGTGAGCTCTTCTCCTCTTGGAGCCAAGCCCAAGTTCAGGGAACATGTGCTTGAGACCAACATTTGGCAGCCTGGGTCCCCACTGGGAGTGACTCTCTGTCTTTGCCTTTTTCCTCTTAAGACACTTTGTTGAATTTGGAGATTGAAACACAGTACTGAACATGCTTAGTGCTAAAAGCTGGTTTCTACCTCCTGCTGGCTCACTTGTATAAGGGACAAAAAATCCACACCCAAATTCAGAACCCAAGTTACTAGCTACGACAAGAATTATTTCCATCTCTCTTGTCACCAACATGACTGAGGCCATATGTATCTCAAAGCATCAATGCACTCAGGTTCCTGGAGAAAATTTCTCTTTGCATTATTGACCCAATTAAGGATTTTTATGAGAAATCCTACATCACAGTTGAGAAAACCAAGCATCCTAATTGCTGGGACCTCATTTGGTAGAAAAGGTGACAGGTTAGAAGTCAGATTACTTTCCCCACATCCGCATATCAAGGAGGGGCAGAGTTGGTACTAGAACATAATTACTTGAATATCCTGATCAAAGTTTATTCTACAATACCAAATAACAGGACTAGGGTTTGTTTGTTTTTACATTTTTAAGTTGAGGTATAATGACATACAATAGAATGCACAGATCTTCAGTGTAGAGTTTAATAAATTTTGACAAATGTTTACACCCTTGTAATCAACACTTCCATCAAAACAAGAGTATTTCCATAATCTTGGAAGTCCCCTTAGGCCTTTTTCCAATCAACCCTCATCCCCCATTCCCCACCAGGCAACAACTACTCTTTGATTTCTATCCCCCTAGACTAGTTTTGGGGCCCCGGTTTTAAGAACTAAAAATTGAACGCATGCAACCTTGCCTGCAGCCGTGAAGCATGTCTCTGCAGATTTTCCTCCCCTTTTTGGACCACAAGTACCACTTAAGATTTGTTTTGGATCCATGTGGACAGCCTTCCAGGAAGTCAGTCTTAACCACAGTACAGACACATTTAGGTTTAAACGGATTTACGTTTTACAAGACTTGAAGGCCAACTATGATTCCTCAGCATGTGGTACAAAAAGAACGCTTCTTTCTGGAAAATCAAGTTTTCTTCAACATAACTGCTTTCTTGGCTCTTTCTGTGTCCCACCTCTCCTTCAGGATGGCTGCCTTTGCATCTATGGGAAGAACTGCCCGAGCCCTTGCAAGCGAGCACATGTGTACACTTTCTACTGAGAAGCCGCTTCCTAGTGCCCGTCACCTTCCTGCTGTGCGGGGCCTCCTCTTCCCAGCTCATCTGGCTTCCCGACCCAGCCTCCCAAGAGGACAGGCATAGTTGAAAATCTAACGGTGTCCTCATAGCCACTTAACTAGCTTGCAAGGAAACTGGGTTTTAGAAAGTGGAAAAGTTGGGCGAAGGCTTGCTCGGAACACTGTCTCCAAGCCAACAAAGGTTGCCAAGGTCCAGGTGCAGGCTGCTTTCCACTAGCCACAGACACAACCAAATCAGACGGGGCCTGCTTCTCTTCCAAGCAGCCAGGACGAGTCATTTTCTCCGTAGTAGCTTCCTTTCCCTAGACAGTGAGCTAATGCTTGGCACCAGCAAACCATAAAACGAGGCAGTTAGCCCTGTGCTTTCAGGCAGAAATGACTGCATGGAATATATGTATACACACAATTATTTCAATCAAGCCGCATGTTAAAAATTCTAAAGAAAAAGAATAAAAACTAGGCGCCCACAGACATAACATTAGAATCCACTTGTGAACCCAGAACAAAGAAGCAACGCTGGAAACGTACACGCCCCTCAGGAGCCAAACTTCAGAAGACGGTCTGTTAGATGATTCTGTGGAATTACAAGCAGAGCTGCCTAAAATAGGTTGGAGAGTCTCTCTTCCCTATATGATGTCACTTCTGGGTATTTCCTGGGGTTTTCATTGTTTAAAATAGACTTTTTCTCATTTTCTAAATTTCTAGAACAAGCACGAGGATATTAACATGGTTCAAAATTTTAAAATAACAAAATATAAGGGGTATTCGGTGAGAAGTCTCCCTCCCGCTCCTGGGCCCTCCCCATGGGCCCTGCCTTTGTATCGAGTCAGAGATAGTTTCGCATATACAAGCAAAATACAGAGGTAAACTTCTCATCCTCCTTTTTTATTGAAATGGAATGTACTAATGCTGTCCTGCATTTTGCTTTTGCTTTTTTTTTTTCTACTCACTGTATTTAGAAACAGAACCTTGAAGATGGATTTCAATAAAGAAAAATTATATGTTCATTTACCTGTTGACCCAGCAAATCCCACTTCTAAGAATCCATCCAAAAGATACCCTGGCGAAAACACAAAATACTGTATGGAGACTATTCAGAGAGCATTTCAAAAAGAAAGAATGAAATGTTCACTAACAACTAATAAAAATGGCTGGCCAGTGCTGGGCCAAGGGACAAACAGCGGAGGGAGAGGACGGGAGACCTCTTTGAATGTACCTTGTTTTTCCCCTGAGTTTTTACTGGTTTTAACTTTGGAATCATCTAAATATTTTACATAATTTTTTGAAAAGCCACCCCCTGCCAAAAAAAAAAAAAAAAAAAGCAAAATGAAACAGTTAACTGTGTGTAGATTTGGAGCAGTAACTACAAGAGGAGTGATTTCAAGTGACTTTATTTATTTTTAAAGATTTTACTTATTTATTTGAGAGAGAGAGCAGGAGCAGGGGGAGGGGCAGACGCAGAGGGAGAAGCAGACTCCCCGCTGAGCAGGGAGCCCGATGCGGCTGGGATTGCCAGGACCCTGGGATCATGACCTGAGCTGAAGGCAGACGCTTAACGACTGAGCCCCCCGGGCGCCACCCCCCTCAAGTGACTTTAAAACACAATCCCTCCATGAGGGTTTCTCCACCTCAGCACTCCTGACATTTTGGGCTAGATCACTGAGGTTATGGGGTGTGGGCTGCGCAAGCAGCGCGTCAGCAGCACCCGAGGTCCGGCTGGCAGCACTCTGCCTGTACGGTCACCCACATCGCTGGGAGAATTAAGTGCCATGTGTGCAAGTCCACTGGGAGAGAGTTTGAAAATGTAGGAGGAGAGGACATGCTGGGCCACAAGGAGCTCTTCCTTCTGACAGAGAAGCACCAGAGTTGGTCAGGAGGCAGAGGGAGCGAGGACATGTGGGCCAGATGTGTTATCATAAGGGGGAAGGGCGGGATGGGGCAGGGTAAGCAGACTTGGGATTGGCTAGTTTGACTCATTTCAGTGGTGTCTGAGGCACAAGGGCTGTCCCTGGTTTTCTGGCACCTGGACCTGGGGTGGAGAGTGGCCCAGAGTGTGAGAGCCCCACACAGCAGGTGGCTGGGCTATGAGCTCTGGAGTGTGTGGTCGGAATCTTTTACTATCTCTGGGAGTTGGCTAGACTCCTAGGGGCAGTCTCTTGAGGGTAAGTGAGGCCCCAGATGTCAAAGCATCAGGCACACATGGTTAATACAGGGAGGACAACTGGAATCTTGCATCTGTTTTCTCCTGGACTTAGCCTGGGTGCCTTTTCTCTTTGCCAACTTTTTAGTCTGTACCCTTTCACTGAAATAAACAGTAACTACAACAGCTTTGCTGCATTCTGTGAGTCTGTCCACTGATTCATCAAACCTGAGTGTGGTCTTGGAGATCCCTGACTCAGCTGCTAAAACCATTAGGTGAAAGGATGATAGGGAACTTCACGGTGGGATAGACACGGCTGACACCACTGAACCCACTGCTCAGGCACTGAGCGTGGGGCAACCAGATGTTCCTCTTTATATTATGCAACAGAAGTATGCAGAATGACCTAATAAGTTGTTTTTTTTTTTTTTTTAAGATTTTATTCATTTATTTGAGAGAGAGAGAGAGAGAGCACGAGCTGGGGGTAGGGGCAGAAGGAGAGGGAGAGGGTGAAGCAGACTCCTGGTTGAGCAAGGAGCCTGATGTGGGACTCAAGCCTAGGACCCTGGGATCATGACCTGAGCCAAAGGCAGGTGCTTAACTGACTGAGCCACCCAGGCATCCCCACCTAAGAAGTTTTCATGTCAAATCAGCTGAACCTGAATCTGACCAAGCCTCTACACGTAACCGCAAATTTGGAGGAAATATGGGGAAAGAGGAAACTGTTAAACAACACTGGGAGGGGCGCCTGGGTGGTTCAGTTGGTTAAGCGACTGCCTTCGGCTCGGGTCATGATCCTGGAGTCCCGGGATCGAGTCCCGCATCGGGCTCCCTGCTCAGCGGGGAGTCTGCTTCTCCCTCTGACCCTCCCCCCTCTCATGTGCTCTCTCTCTCTCTCATTCTCGCTCTCTCAAATGAATAAATAAAATCTTTAAAAAAAAAAAAACCACTGGGAGGGAATAGGCAGCCAAATCTAGCAAGTGAGCTATTACCCAGGACAAATGACCCATTTGTTAAACATAAGAAGGAAAGTGAACTGTTACATATTTAGTGAGACAAGAGACAAATCAATCATTGTGTGGAACTTTTTTTTGGATCCTAAGTTGAACCAATCAGTAGTCAAAAGGCATTTTTGAAACAACAGGGGAAAAGCAAACACAGAGTGCAAATTAGGTATTAAGGAACTGCTGTTAATTTTATTGGGTGAAATAGGATGGTTAGGATTTGCTTTAGAAAGCTCCAAGAAGAGGCGCCTGGGTGGCTCAGTTGTTAAGCGTCTGCCTTCGGCTCAGGTCACGATTCCAGGGTCCTGGGATCGAGCCCCGCATTGGGCTCCTTGCTCTGCGGGAGGCGGAGGCCTGCTTCTCCCTCTCCCACTCCCCCTACTTGTGTTCCTGCTCTCGCTCGCTCGCTCTGTCAAATAAATAAATAAAATCTTAAAAAAAAAAAAAGAAAGCAAGCTCCAAGAAAAACAACTGGAGGGGGCAGGGGAAAATAGATCAGGTAACAACAGCATGAAGCCAGTGGTTGGTAAGTCCTGGGGATGTGTACATGGGGGTTCACTGCACTGTTCTATTTTTGTGTCCATTTAAAATTTTCTACAACACGTTTTAAAAGGATTAGAAAAAAAGTGAATTTAAAAATTAGAAGCATCTGGGGCACCTGGGTGGCTCAGATAGTTAAGCGTTTGCCTTCTGCTCGGGTCATGATCTCCAGGTCTTGGGATCAAGCCCCACGTCAGGCCCCCTGGCTCAGCGGGGAGTCTGCTTCTCCCTCTCCCCCTGCCACTTCCCCTGCTCATGGTCTCTCTCTGTATCTCTCTGTCTCAAATGAATAAATAAAAGTCTTTAAAAAAAATTTAAAAATAAAAATTAGAAGCATCCACCCAAAATCCTAGAGAACACAGGCAGCAACCTCAGCGATCTTGGCCGCAGCAACTTCTTGCTAGACATGTCTCCAAAGGCAAGGGAAACAAAGCAAAAATGAACTATTGGGACTTGACATCAAGATAAAAAGCTTTTGTACAGCAAAGAAAATAGTCGACAAAACAAAAAGACAACCAACAGGATGGGAGAAGATACTTGCAAATGTCTTATCAGATAAAGCACTAGTATCCAAAATCTATAAAGAACTTATCAAACTCAACACCCAAAGAACAAAAAAATCCAATCAAAAAATGGGTAGAAGACGTGAACAGACATTTCTGCAAAGAAGACATCCAAATGGCCAACAGACACATGAAAAAGTGCTCAATATCACTCAGCATGAGGGAAATACAAATCAAAACCTCAATGAGATACCGCCTTACAGCAGTCAGAATGGCTAAAATTAACAAGTCAGAAAATGACACATGTTGACGAGGATGCCGAGAAAGGGGAACCCTCCTACACTGTCGGTGGGAATGTAAGCTGGTGCAGCCACTCTGGAAAACAGTACGGAGGTTCCTCAAAAAGTTGAAAATAGAGCTACCCTACGACCCAGCAATTGCACTACTGGGTATTTACCCCAAAGATACAAATGTAGTGACCTGAAGGGGCACCTGCACCCCAATATATACAGCAGCAATGTCCACAATAGCCAAACTATGGAAAGATCCCAGATGTCCATCAAGAGATGAATGGATAAAGATGTGGTATATATACACAATGGAATACTACTCATCTACCAAAAAAATGAAATCTTAACCACTTGTAACAATGTGGATGGCACTAGAGGGTATTATGCTAAGCGAAATAAGTCAATCAGAGAAAGACAACGATCATGTGATTTTACTATGTGGAATTTAAGAAACAAAACAGAGGATCATGGGGGAAGGGAGGGAAAAATAAAACAAGACGAAATCAGAGAGAGACAAACCGTAAGAGACTGTTAACTCTAGGAAACAAACTGAGGGTTGCTGGAGGGGGGGGGGGAGGGATGGGGTAACTGGTGATGGGCATTAAGGAGGGCATGTGATGTAATGAGCACTGGGTATTTATAAGACTGATGAGGGGCACCTGGGTGGCTCAGTTGGTTGGGCTCAGGTCATGATCCTGGAGTACTGGGATCAGGCACCTCACTGGGCCCCCCGCTAAGGGGGGAGCCTGCTTCTCCCTCTGCCCCTCACCCTGTTCTTGCTCTCTCTTTTAAATAAATAAATAAAATATTAAAAAAAAGACTGATCAATCACTGAACTCTACCTCTGAAACTAATAATACACTATATGTTAATTGAATTTAAATAAAAAAATAAAAATTAGAAGCAGTTACATGTTCTAATTAAATGTATGAAATTTGATAACCTGCCAATATTTCAGAGAGGTGATTTTTAAGGCATAGGTGAGGTTAGGGCGCCTGGGTGGCTCAGTTGGTTAAGGCATAGGTGAGGTTATAAGGGTTTTAAGAGATTAAAGTAAAATGTAGGAAGTTTGATGTCTGAGCACCCCTTTCAGGTCTTGAGAAAACAGGTGGAGCCCAACGTGAAGCTGCCTTGTATATGAAGCTTTCAGGATTTTCCCAGTTTTTGCTCTGAGGTCTAAATGTAGGGGTGGTTTTTGTGTTTAGGGTTTTTTTTGGGTATTGATTTGACAAATTTACCATAAACCTTCAGAACAAAAAGACATTACCCTCCTGACATTCTCATACAAATCTTTATCCTTTAAATAGTATCTCGTAAGACACAGAGAAGCACAATCTGTGGATAAAAGCTCCTGCTGGTTGTTACCTTAACTGCCTTCATAAACATGGGATTTGGGGTCAGGCAAAAAATCTCCCCAATTAAAGCAGCATATGGGAGAGCCTGGCCTTCAGGGAGTGGTGCTTTTGCCTTTCTTTCCTGCTATCTACAAAGATTTCTTGGGGCACCTGGTGACTCAGTTGGTTAAGCATCCGACTCTTGGTTTCAGATCAGGTCATGATCTCGTGGCTGTGGGAACGAGCCCCATGTCGGGCTCTGTGCTCAGTGCAGAGTCTGCTTCAAATTCTCTCTCCCCACCTCTCTCTCTCACTCTCCTTCAGATAAATAAAATCTTCAAATAAAAAAATAAAAAATTTCTTATGAAAAAATTCAAGGATAATTTGTTAGGACAAACATGTATTACTTCTGTCATTAAAAAAAAATTTTAAGAACATATGTTCACACACAAATTGGTACAAGAAGGTTCATAGCAGCACTATTCACAATAGCCAAAAAGTGGAAACCACCCAAGTGCCCATCAACTGATGACTGGATAAATAAGATGTGATACATCCATACACTGGATGTTACTTTTATTCCATAGAAAGGAATATAGTACCGATTTGTGCTACTGATTTGCGCTATCACATCATGAATCTTGAAAACATTACGTTAACTGAGAGAAGCCAGTCACAAAAGACCACATATTCTATGATTCCATTTATATGAAATGTTCAGAATAGGCAAATCCCTAGAGACAGAAAGTAGACCACTGGTTGCTCTAGGGCTGGGGTGGGGGTGGGATTGAGGGAAAATGGGGAGTGGCTGCAAATGGGTACTCTACTGGGTTGATGGGTGTCCCCTCCCCCATTTATAACAAAAATGTTCTAAAATTGATTGTGGTGATGGTTGTACAACTCTGTGGATATATTAAAAGCCACTAAATTGTATAGTTTAAATGGGTAAATTGTATGGAATGTAAATTATATTCCAATAAAGCTGTTATTAAAAAAACATTCAAAGCTATACAAAAATCACGGGGCACCTGGCTGGCTCAGTCATTGGAGTGCATGACTCTTGATCTTGGGGTTTTGAGTTTGAGCCCCACGCTGGGTGCAGAGATTACTTAAAAATAAAATCTTAAGGAGGTGGGGGGATGGGGTAACAGGGATGGGCATTGAGGGCACACCTGATGTAATGAGCACTGGGTATTCTATGCAACTGACGAATCACTAAAATCTACCTCTGAAACTAATAATACAGGATATGTTAACTAAAATGAATTAAAATAAAAAATAAAAATAAAAATCTTAAAAAAATATATACTATACAAAAATGCTGAAAAAATATACTATACAAAAATGCTGAAGAACTTTGAGAAGGATCTTGAATAATCCCAACAGGGAGAAAGTCCCTTTATGTCAGTAATTTAGGGTGTGGAGAGGTTGAGAGTTAAATATCAGATGTTGGTTATAACAGGACGGGTTGCTAGGTCTGCTGCTGATCTGCTATACGGACTGTTGGCCTTTTAGACAGAACTCTTTCAGTTGAAAGCCACAGAAAATCTACTCAAGCAGGCTTAACCAAAACAACAATACAATTTTATCTCACATACTTGGAGTCCAGGGTGGGCACTGGCATCTGGACAAGGTCACGGGGGCAGATTTTGGTTTCCTTCGTTCTTGCCTTCATTCTCAAGCTGCCCGTCTCTGTGTGGTGGCCCTTACCGTTCCTGGTACAAGAGGAGACTCTTTCTTGCTAGCTCTCACACAGTTCCGGGACTGTCCAGGGCTGGCTCCCATTCCTACAGCCAGGGAGTAAGGTTTGCTTCAACCAAGTCCCATGGGTAGAGCAGGATAGGGTGGCTCCCCCAAGGAAGAAAGGCTGGGTATACAAAACATGTCTACTACGCCAAAGGAAGCTCTAAAACTTGCAGAGATTTGAACATCATCTCAGCCCCATAAATACTTGCCAAATCAATGTAGGAACACAAAATGGAGCTACTGTAGAGTCCTTTTAAAGCATCACATTCCAAATTCTTATTCCGTATTTTAGAGAAGCAATAACACACAATTTAGGACAGATGCCAAGGTCATCAGCCAGATGCCATTTTAGCAGAGGGAGCTACTTCAATCAAGGATAGATTGTTCCACGATCCAGAATTCTGTCCGAAGAGATAGGTCACTCTGGTAGATGGCAGACCTTTTCTTTTTTTTTTTTTTTTTCCTGACTCGGCCTCAAGAAAAGCTAAGGCTTGTCCAGCACAAAAGCAGCAGCAGTCCAGTATGGACAGCTGGAAAACACTCTGCTACCAACAAGCTTGTTGCAGTTTGCCCTTCTTATTTGAACTGGTGATAATCTGGTGGGTTTCTGATCCAAGATCCAAAGGCCTGCTTTCGGAGCACACTCCAGGCTTCCTGGTAAGCGGACGCGGCCTCCTTGTATTCGTGGTACGTCTCCAGCTTCCGCGTCCTAATGCACACACAGCAAGCACACAGGTTCTCAGCCATCAGCTCAGCACGGTGGCCACCTGAGCTAGGAGCCGGACAGGTTTCTAACCAGAGACCTAGGAAGAGACCTAGGAACGGGAAGATTTTGATATGCTTTCCTACACCAACTCTCTCTCCATTGTAGGAAATTCACCAGAAAGCAACATGGATTGAAACAGGTGATGATAAACAATGCTAGTCTTGTCTGCTCCTGGTGGAATCAGATAAAACAGGAATAACTACTTTTTGGTTTAAGTGTTCTGGGAGATGGCTTACTGCAAATAAGTCCCCTTCCCTGTAAGACTCATGGATGCCCCCTAGGTCTACCTATGACGGACCCTCCAAACTCCCATTCTGTCTCAATAACTAGCTGAACTGTTTCTACCCACACACCAATCTGGACAAAATTCTTGCTTCCTTGACCAACATTAGTTATGCTTCTGTCCTTCTCCCAGGCCCTGAACTTTGACCCACCCTCAGCCTGAGCGTGCATCAGAATGTGTAGTGACCCCTTCTTAACAAAGTACCCCCCACACCCCACCGAGAACAGACTGATCTCAAGAAAAGACATTTCCTGTCCACCTGTACCCCTCACACTGCGCATCCCATGTCCCCTGCCCAGTTCTTCCTAGGCTTGCTGACCACTCCCCAGAAAGGAAGACTCCTTCCCGCCCGCCCTAGAGGCTTATAAACCATACGACATCCGTGTCCTTGCTTTGGCATCAGTCCTGCTGTAGCTGTAACAGCCCCTCTCTAACTGCAATGATCCTTCTGAATAAAGTCTCCCCTGACCTCAGTTCAGATTTGTTTTCACTGACACACAAAATGTCTGGAACCCCCTGGTTAGTTTGATTCATTTTTCCAGACAAAAAATGAGCAAACAGACCACTGACCAAACTGACTGCAGGGCATCATTACTGACTGCAGTATGCACGGTGGTAGTAACAAGGGGACAGCTTCTTCACAGAGAAGTTTCTAGCAATACCTTACCTTCCCCACGGCTATACGATAAAGAATTTGGCAGGTCTTGTTGCCAGTTGCTTCAGGGAACCACCTCACCCTCTCAATTTCCCCAGGGGTAGGAAGTCTTTGTTCTTCATGGTGGACCCCTCTGACCACACCTGAATTTACACTTAAAGAGGTGACTCCTGGTGGGCCTGAGACAGATCAGGATGGGGCTGGCCATGCCAGAAAGACTAACCACAGAGTCCAGTGGGGCCTGTGCTATCAGTCTGCCCTCCTGACCTGAGGGGGAGATGGTGCATGAGTTCAGTCACATCACGTGGCCAACTATTCAGTCAGGCTGACGTAATGAAACCACAGTAAAACCTCCGTACACCGAAACTTGGGTCCCCCTTCTGGCTAGTGATACACAGTGATGTGCTGAGGGGGTGGTGACACATCCTGAGGACACAGATTGTGTTTGGGACCTTCTCAGACCTTGCCCTACATGTCCCTTCTTTTAGCTGGTCCTGATTCATATTCTTTACAATACAAAGTAATTGTTCAGTATAATGCTTTCCTATATACATGAGTTGTTCCAGAGAACAACTGAACCTAAGAAGGTAGTGGGAACCCCCGAGTTTGGAGGTGGTGGTCAGAAGTGTGAACAGCTTGCGTGTGTGTAGAAAGTGAGGGCAATGACCTTGGGTGTTAGTGTCTGAACTGCCCCCACCCACCTGCCCCCGGAGCAGTTTTAGAGTTCTCTATGCTTCTGCTTGGGAGCAATTTCAATCGTGAAGCTGCAGCTCACAACCAGTGATGTGAACAAAAGAGAAAGAGAAGAGAGTGACGTTCCTAGCAGACTCTACTGCTCCCCACACACTCATGTATCCGCCTCGCTCTCCCTCTGGAGGAGGGTGAAAGGAGAGCCTGGAATGGGCCAAGCCCCAATACCCCCCTCCAGGCCTCTGTAACTCTGCACCACTAGGCCACCCACCCTGCACACCTCAGATCTGCGTTTGCAATCAGGGCCTCGGGGAGAGAGGAGCCCACGGGTGGTAGTTAAGTGCCCACGGACTCCTGCCAAAGCTTCCTGCTATTCGTAGGCCAGAATTAACCCACAAAGCTTCCTAAAGATGAAACAACATGGGTCCACAGCGTCACCTGAGGGAGTCTGGCCATTTGTCCTCTGAAATACTGCTTAGCAGTCTCTGAAATGATCTAAAGAGTTCCACTTTGCTGATTCGGGATCTGTGTGGAAACAGATGACAAAGAGGATTTATTAGAAGTGTTTAACATGTACCAGCCCCTATCAGAGATGCCAGGCTTCACACAGAGCTTTCTTAGGTTTGAACGCACCAGAGCCCCCATTTCCACCTGTTCTTCACATGCAGAACATCGAAGATCTGATTTGGGTGAAGAGAAAAAAAGGAATCTCATCTTAAGAAGTGTCATCGGAGGGGGGGGCATCTGGGTGGCTCAGTCATTAAGCGTCTGCCTTCGGCTCAGGTCATGATCCCAGGGTCCTGGGATCAAGCCCCACATCGGGCTCCCTGCTCCGCAGGAAGCCTGCTTCTCCCTCTTCCACTCCCCCTGCTTGTGTTCCCTCTCTCGCTGTCTCTCTCTGTCAAATAAATAAATAAAATCTTTTTTTTTTTTAAAGATTTTATTTATTTATTCATGAGAGACAGACAGAGAGAGAGAGAGAGAGAGAGAGAGAGAGAGAGAGAGAGAGAAGCAGGCTCCCAAGGAGCAGGGAGCCCGACGCGGGACTCGATCCCAGTACCCCGGGATCATGACCTGAGCCGAAGGCAGACGCCCAACCATCTGAGCCACCCAGGCGCCCCAAATAAATAAAATCTTAAAAAAAAAAAAAAAGTGTCACCAGGGGGAGCCTGTGTGGCCAGTCGTCAAGCGTCTGCCTTCGGCTTAGGTCATAATCCCGGGGTCCTGGGATCAAGCCCCGCATCGGGCTCCCTGCTCGGCGGGAAGCCTGCTTGCTTCTCCCTCTCCCACTCCCCCTGCTTGTGTTCCCTCTGTCGCTGTCTCTCTCTCTGTCAAATAAATAAATAAAATCTTAAAAAAGAAAAAATGTGCCATCAGCAGTGAAATCATCAAGGGGACAGGCTCAAGTGGGGTAAAGACAGAGGTGGCTTTACTAAGCTCCCCCAAGACACCTACCAGCCACACCAGGCTACCTCTTTTCCAGGGAGCTGGCCCTGTGGGTAATACTGCTCAAGACACTGCAACGGTTTCAGACTCGAGTGCCACTCCCTGTGCGAACTGCGGTCATAAAGTCCACTCGGACGAGCGCTGGACTGACTCTCCTCTGGGCACTGTGGGCCTTTGAGGCCAGTCCTTTGCTTCTACCATGAAGCTTCATGCAGGCCATAGTTTGGAACATCAGGGGAAGTGAGTGTGGCCAGTCCACCTGGCCACCAGCCCATCGGGGCCTTCCTGCTTTTGCCCATCCATGCCATCCAAGCCTCCTTCCCCTCCCTTACACAGTTCACGAGCAGATTTAGAGTACGGAAGCACGTGTGCCGACAAGGGGTGGTCTCCTCTTTATACAGCACAGCCTTCGCCGTGCTCACAGACTGTATCACCACCTTAGACACTATGGCCAAACGGAGATATGGGAAATAGGGAAGTGTCCGGTCTGTCAAAAAGTTCCCTCACCTGGCTGACTGACGCCTAGGCTACTTAGCCCTCACAAGCTGCTCCCCATGGGTCTTAACTGAGCTCGAGTGGCAACTGGCACTTGGGAATATACGGTTCCTTTAACATTAAAAAACAAACAAACAAAAAACCCAAAGCCAAAAAACTAATGAAACTTATTTTGTTACCAGATTAAAGGAGAAATGTAATATAATTGTAAGAAACTCCCTCTCTTTCTCAAATAAATAAATAAAATCTTAAAAAATAAAAAAAAAGGGGGGCGCGTGGGTGGCTCGGTTAAGCGCCAATTCCTGATTTCGGCTCAGGTCATAGTCTCAGGGTTGGGAGATCAAGCCCCGTGTCGGGCTCCATGCTCAGTGCGGAGTCTGCTTGTCCCTAACCCTCTGTTCCTCCCCCTGCTCATGCTCTCCCTTTCTCTCTCTCAAATAAATAAATAAAATCTTTTTAAAAAATTGTGAGAAAAAACACTCAGAGAAGCATTTGTTAGAGTTCCTAGAGGACTAGGAAAGACAGTATTTACGTTCAAAAAGGGTGTCTATAAAAAGCTGCAGCCAATTCATGTCCTTAAAATCAAGAATAAGATAAGGGCCCTGCTTTTATACAATGTTACACAGAAGACTCTGGCCAGTAAGACAAGAAATAAACGGTGTAAGGATTAAAACACAAAAACCAAAGTCATTATTTGCTGATGTTTGTGATATTGTCAGTTCTAGCCACGACAGTAAGTCAAGAAAAAAATTAATTAATTAAAGGAATGGTGGGTTGGAAAGGAAATACTATTTGCAAAAGATCGTTTACATTGAAAAAAAATGCAAAAGGATTTCCAGATAAATTAGGATAATAATAAGAGTGAACAAGGTTGCTGGATACAAACATTAACTGCAACAGGGAAAAACAAAAAACTAACAGCAGTGACCAGAAAATGAAGTAAAAAGAAATTACTTAAAATAGCATTGTGGTAGCTAACCTCCAAGATGGTGATTATTTTTTAAAGATCTATTTATTTCAGAGAGAGGAGGAGAGAGTATGCACGGACGTGCACACACACACAACCCAACACGGGGCTCAATCCCAGGACCCTGAGACCATGACCTGAGCTGAAATCGACAGCTACTCAACCAACTGAGCCACCCAGGTGCCCCATGGCGATTTTTTTAAATTGATGTAGAGTTGACTTACAATATTATATTAGTTTCGGGTGTATAACGTAGTGATTTTACAATTACATATGTTAGGAAATGCTCATCACAGTAAGCATAGTTACCTTCTGTCACCACACGAAGTTATTACGGTATTATTGACTGTACCCTCCATGCTGTACCCTTCATCCCCATGACTTACTTATTTTATAACTGGAAGTCTGTCCTTTTTTTTTTTTAACATTTGAGAGAGAGAGAGAGAGAGAGAGAGAGAGAGAGAGAGAGAGAGAGA